GTGGAGAGGGGTTGATTCCAGATAAGTGTGAGAGCCTCGGGACAGAACTGGAGGTGGATGTGTGGAGGGGAAACCCTTGGCCCCTCTCCAGCTCCCCAGACTAGGGGCTCCTGGGGACACACTGAGGCCTCACTCAGCACAGGGTGCGTACTGGGGATCAGAGGGTGTTGGGCAAATGTGGCAAAACTGTGGGACCACAAGTTGTTGGCCCTGAGGCTGGGTTACCCCAGGGTACTCCCCGCATCTCTGTCTTTGTCTTTGGGAGTGGTCTCTGAATTTCTTCTAGGTATCTCTGGGGTCTTGGGGATGTCTGAGTTTTTCTGGGTTTCTCTGGGGTTTCTGAAGGTCTCTAGGTGTCTCTGAGGCTCTACAGAGGTCTCTGTGCTGACAGGTTGGCCCTGCCTGGGACTCATATGGGCAGAAGGGGGAGTATGAAGGTGAGCCCTCTGGAAGCTTCTGGTTCCTCTCAGCCAGGCTGAGGGCCAGTGTAGCCCCTCTTCCCACAGCCTAGCCATGGTCTGCCAGGGCTGCAGCAGGAAGGCCCAGGCCCCAGGCTCCCCCAGACCCACCACCAGAACCCACTGTCTCAGGCCCCAAGCCGGCTTGTCCCACGCCCACACAGCCCACCCCAAGCCTGAGTGTCTGGCCCTTTAGTTCCTCATTTCCTTCACTTCATTTCCTCATTTCCTCCTATTCTAAGAGGCCTCAGTGTTGGAATCCACCCACACCCAGGCCCGCCAGCTGGTGCCCCTCTGACCCTCTCATCCTAAAAGCCTGAGTTCTTGTGTGTGCTTGTTGGCTGATTTCAATGTTTGGATTGAACGTGTTGACTGTGATTTGTATTCACATGATATGATAGGATTCTAAAGAAAAAAAGATAAAAACATACATGGGGAGCTTCTCCCTCCCATCCATCTGCCACTAAGAGGTAACCCCAGGGTATTTGTTTTTCCTGTTTCATCAAAAGTTTCTATAGGGGGGCTTCCCTGGTGGCGTAGTGGTTAAGAATCCACCTGCCAACGCAGGGGACATGGGTTCGAGCCCTGGTCCGGGAAGATCCCACATACCACGGAGCAAGTAAGGCCGTGTGCCACAACTACTGAAGCCCGTGCACCTAGAGCCAGTGCTCTGCGACAAGAGAAGTCTGCACACCACAATGAGAAGTAGCCGCCGCTCGCTGCAACTTGAGAAAGCCAGTACGCAGCAACGAAGACCCAACGCAGTCAAAAATAAATAGATTAAAAAAAAAAGTTTCTGTAGGAAGTTGCTTTTTTTCCCCCCCGCAAGTTAACATATTCATTTGAAGACATCTGCTCTCACCCAGGCCCACTCTCGCCCCAGGGCCTTTACACAGGCTGTTCCACTCCCTGCATGCCCTTCCCCCACCTCCTTACTCAATAAGCCCCCTTATCCTTTGCAATAAACCCTCCCTTGATCATCCCATTAAAAAGTTGCCACCCTCCCTGCTTGCTTCCCAACTTTACTTACTCTGCCACCTGTTACATATTTTTAAATTAATTAATTAATTAATTTTTGGCTGCGTTGGGTCTTTGTTGCTGCGTGTGGGCTTTCTCTAGTTGTGGCGAGAGGGGGCTACTCTTCATTGCGGTGCATGGGCTTCTCACTGCGGTGGCTTCTCTTGTTGCAGAGCAGGGGCTCTAGGTGCACAGGCTTCAGTAGCTGTGGCATGTGGGCTCAGTAGTTGCAGCTCGTGGGCTCTCGAGCGTAGGCTCAGTAGTTGTGGCGCATGGGCTTAGTTGCTCCGTGGCATGTGGGATCTTCCCGGACCAGGGATTGAACCTGTGTCCCCTGCATTGGCAGGCGGGTTCTTAACCACTGCGTCACCAGGGAAGTCCCATATTTTCTAGATAGATTCCACATGTTTCCAGCCTCCCCGACTACTACAAGAACTCCACGGGGATTGGGAGTTTGTCTGTTTTGTTCATGGCTGTATCTGCAGTTCCTAGACCAGTGCCTGGCACACAGTAGGAGCTTAATAATGGTTTGTGGAGGAAATGAATGAGTCTTTCCTTATTGTTTCATAGAGATCTATAATTTCATTTTCATGACTCTGTAGCACCTCCCAGGATAGATGAGCTGTTATTGATCTAACCAATCCCTTAGGTGGTTTCCAATTTTTGTTTTCATAAAACAAACAATGCTGCAATGAATCATCCTGTAGCTCCTCTGTCATCTTTTTGCCTTAAAAACATTTTTTTTTAATTGAATATCTTGTAAGTTTCAGGTGACTTTTTTTAAAATTGTGCAAAGGACACTTAACAAAAAATTTACCACTTTAGCCACTTTAAAGTGAACAATTCAGTGATTTTTAGTACATTCACAGTGTGTGCAACCATCATTCCTATCTAGTTCCAGAACATTTTTATTACCTCAAAAGGAAACCCCGTCCCCATTAGCAGTCACTCTCCATAACCTCCTCCCCAGCCCCTGATAATCACTAATCTACTATCTGTCTCTGTGGATTTGCCTGTTCTGGACACTTTATATTAATGAAATCATACACTATGTAGTCTTTTGTGTCTGGCTTTGTTCACTCAGCATAATGTTTTTGAGGTTCATCCACACGTAGTGTGTATCAGAGCTTCATTCCTTTTTATGGCCAAATAATATTCACTGTATGGATGGACCACATTTAGTTTATCCACTCATCAGTTCCTGCCCCTGTCATTTTGTAAACATGAAAATATTCAGGAGTCCCAGAAGTGGGATGCTGGATCAGTGGGCATGTGCATTCATAATTCCCGTGACAGGATGCCTTACATCGGGCTGCACTACAGATGCTCCCCCAGCAATGTGTGGGGTTGCCTGTTTCCCCACAGCCTGGCCAGCACAGGGTGTCATCACACTTTTGAATTTTTGCCCATCTGATAGATGGAATCAAACAGTATCTCAGAGTTGCTGTGATCTGCTGTTTTTTACTAGGAGTGAGTATCTTTGGGTTGTTGAAGAACAAATTGCAGCCCTTCCCCAAAGTCTCAGTTCAAGACCTTTGACCATTCGTCTGAGTTTGGAGATGGAAAAGGGGCAGAGTCTGAGGAGAGGGGAAAGTGTGGGGGAGTAGACTCCAGCCTCCCAGAGTCCAGGAAAGACTCTTGACATTTATCCCATTTTACAGCTGTGGAAACTGAGGTACCATTTTACAGATGTGGAAACTGAGGTACAGAACAGTTAAGGTCAAGCAGTGATCCAGGGGCTGGAAAGGATTTGAACCTGGTCTGCCTGAAGCCCAGACCCCAGTGAGGTTGAGACTCTCTGCCAGCCTACCTGTACCCATTCCCTCCTCAATCTCTCTTGTGTCACTATCCCTCAGGTCTGACTCAGCTCTCCCTCTCCCTCTGGGACTCCGGGCTCCTCCAGACCCCAGACTCACTCCAGAAGAATCTTTTGACACAGTGCCCCTCCCCTGCTCACACACCTGCTTGGCCCTGGGAATAAAGCCCCACTCCTCCGCCTGGCTTTGGAGGCCTGTGCTGCCTCCCCAACCTGCCCATGTCACCAGTTCCTCCATTTAGTCTGTCCCTTCCAGCCACTCCTAACCACGCTGTCCCAGCCGGCCATGCTTTCTCAAGCTGCAGGACCTTTACTCCTGCTGTGCCTTCTGCCGGGAATCTGCAATGCATTCATTTCTGCCTTCCACTGCAACTCATCCTCCAAGCCCCAGACTCAACATCCCCTCCCGCAGGGAGCCCTCCTCACATCCCCCCTGCAGCATGGAGGCATGGTTTGTACGTGAGGAGAGCTCTGAGCTTGTGGGAGAGGCTAGGAGCTTGGAAAGTCAAAGGCCGTTTGCCAAGGAATCCTTGGCAAACTCCTACTCATGTGTTGAAACCCCAATTCTAATGTCTCCTCTCCAGGAAAGCTTCCAGTACCCTGTCCCTCACTCTGGCCTTGACCTGACTCCATCAGACTTGGGGTGCCTGTGTCCGGTTCTGTCTTTTTCCGAGACTGGTTGCTCCTGAAGAAAGTGGACAGGACTGAGTCTCTTGGGGGCTCAGCATGGGTGACGTTTGTTGAACGAATAAATGAATGCATGGGTTGGGAGTCAACTGAGCTGAGACCAGGAAGTGAGTTGATGAGGTAGCAGTTAGTTGGGGTGTTACTGGGGGACATGTAGTCACTGGGTTCCAGCAAGAAGGAAGCAGGCTGCCCCTGCCCTTCCCCTAAGAATCCTGGTCCTTGAGGCCTTTCAGCGG